TTTGAGACAAGGACTGGCATATAGTGATCATAACTCACTGCAGCCTTGAACTCCTGGGGGTGAGAGATCCTCCTGGGCCGGGCACGGTAGCTCATGCCTATAATCCTAGCACTCTGGGACACCAAGGCAGGAGGATCGCTTGAGCCCAGGAGTTTGAATTTGCTCTGAGCTAGGCTAACGCCCCGGCACTCTAGCCCAGGTGACAGAGTGAGACTTTGTCTCAAAAAATAAATAAATAAATAAATAAAGAGATCCTCCTGCCTCAGCCTCCCAGATAGCTGGGACTACAGGTGTATGCCACCATGTCCAGCTAAATTTTTTTATTTTTTATAGAGATGGGAGTCTCACTAGGTTGACAAGGCTGGTCTCAAGCTCCTGGCCTCAAGTGATCCTCTTGCTTCAGCCTCCCAAAGTGCTGGGGATTACAAGAGTGATCCACCATGCCTGGACTTGTTATTTTTTCTTTGTTTGTTTTGTTTTATTTGCTTATTATATAGTTATAGTATTGGTAGAGGTATAGACACATAGATTAATGAACCAGAATAAAGAACCCTGAAATAGACCCACACAAATGTGGCCCAACTGATTTTTGGCAAAAGCATAAAAGCAATTCAATGGAGGGAAGATGATCTTTTTAATAAATGGTACTGGAGCAAGTGAATATCTATAGGCAAAAACAGCAACAACAACAACAAAGCAGAAGAAGAAGACAGAGAAGAACCTCAACCTAAGTCTCACAACCTTATACAAAATTTTAACTCAAAATGAATCATGGACTCAAATGCTCAAATGTAAAATACAAAATAGAAAACATTTAGTAAAGAACATAGGAGAAAAGCATAGGAACTAGGGCTAGGCAAAGAGTTCTTAAACTAGACACAAAAAGCATGATCCATATAAGGAAAAATTGGCAAATTGGCTTTATCAAAATTTTAAATTCTAGCTCTGTGAAAGACCCTATTAAAAGGAAGAAAAAATAAACTACAGACCCAGGGTAAACCCCTATGTGGTTTACTAAAATGTTAGTAAACCACATATCCATAAAAGGACTAATATCTATAATATGTAAAGAATGTTTAAAGTTTGGCAGTAGAAAAACAAAAGGCAAACCAATAATCCAATTAGAAAATAAGCAAAAGATGTAAAGAGACATTTCACTGAAGAGGATATATACATATGGCAAATAACCACACAAAAAGGTGTTCACTACCATTAGCCATTAGGATAATGAAAAAAAAAAAAAAAAACAAAACCAATGAGATATCATACACATCTGTCAAAATGGCTAAAATTTTTAAAAAGTAAGAATTCTAGCCTGGCGTGTTGGCACATGCCTGTAGTCCCAGCTACTCAAGAGTCTGAGGTGATAGGGTCGCTTGAGCCCAGGAGTTCTGGGCTATGGTGTGCTATGCTGATCCGATGTCTGCACTAAGTTCAGCTTCAATATGGTGACCTCCAAGGAGTGGGGGACCACCAGGTTGCCTAAAGAGGGGCAAAGCAACCCAGGTAGGGAATGGGGCAGATCAGAACTCCTGTGCCGATCAGTGGTGAGATGGTGCCTGTACCTGGCCACTGCACCCCAGCCTGGGCAACATAGCAAGACCTCATCTCTTTAAAAAAAAATTTTTTTTTAAAGAAACTAACAATTCCAAATCCTGGAAAGCATGCAGAGAAATAATCACTCACACATTGTTAGTTGGAATGTCAAATGGTATAGTCATACTGGAAAACAGTTTGTCAGTTTCTTAAAAAAAAAAACAAACAAAACTGAACACACACTTATCTTACTACCCAGCAAGTGTGCGTCTAGGCATTTATCCTGGAGAAATGATAACTATGTCCTTACAAAACATGTACGTAATTGTTCATAGCAGCTTTAGTTGTAATAACCAAAACCTGGAAACAACGCTGATAGCCCTCAGTGGGTGAATGGTTAAACAAATGTACATCAATGCCAAGGAACTCTACCCAGTAATAAAACGGAATGAACTACTGGTACACACAACAACCTGGATGACTCTCCAGAGAATTATGCTGAGTGAAAAAAGGCCAACCCCCAAAGATTACATATTGTGTATGGTTCTACTTATATAATAGTCTTTTTTTTTTTTTTTTTTTTTTTGAGACAGAGTCTCACTTTATTGTCCAGGCTACAGTGAGTGCCATGGAGTCAGCCTAGCTCACAGCAACCTCAAACTCCTGGGCTCAAGGAAACCTTCTGCCTCAGTCTTCCAAGTAGCCAGGACTACAGATATGTGCCACCATGCTCTGCTAATTTTTTCTATATATTTTTAGTTGGCCAATTCATTTCTTTCTATTTTTAGTAGAGATGGGGTCTCACACTTGCTCAGACTGGTTTTGAACTCCTGACCTTGAGTAATCCACCCACCTTGGCCTCCCAGAGTGCTAGGATTACAGGCGTGAGACACAGTGCCCGGCCTTATATAATATTCTTGAAATGACAAATTTTAAAAATGAAGAAAAGATTAGTGGTTGCCAGGGGTTGAGGAGGGAGTGAGGGCTAGGTGGAAGTGAGTCTGGCTATTAAAGGACACATAAGTGATCCTTGCTAATGGTGATGGAAATGTTCTCTACCGTGGCTGTATCAATGTCAATATCCTGGTTGTGCTATCATGTTATATAGTTTTGTAAGATGTTACTGTTAGGCAAAACTAGGCAAAGGGTATTGTGTTATTTCCCACAACTGCATCTACAATTAGCTCAAATCTACAATTAGCTCAAATTGAATCTACAATTAGCCCAAAAAGTTTAATTTTGAGAAATAGTTGAAGAAAATTAGTACTGTTTTGCAGTGCTAAGGAGCACACCCTGGGACATGGAGCACAGCTGAAATACAGTATATACAGAATCACAAAAGGTCTAAATAAATGCATGTATGTATGAGAAGTCCCTAAAACATTCTGTGATCCTTGGGGCTCCTCCTTAATGCCAGTGAAAACAGCTATTTCCCTTCTAACACTCTGAGATTTTGTCAATATGAGGACTTGAAATGAGAGAGGTGTCATTGGACAAAGCTGGAGGGCAAGTCTTAGATTTTTATGTTGCAGGAAGATTTGAAAGGAGTTGTGGGACAGATGTGAGGTTGCACAGAGCCAGCTTAGGAGCCAGCCTGTCCAGGAATCCTCTACACCATTGCCTGAGTTAGGCATCCCCTCCTCTCTGCTCTGTTAACTTCCATTATAATCCACTAAGATCAATAACTTTCTTGTCTGTTTCCCCTCTCTATGCATTTCTTGAGGGCTAGGATCACTTCTCAGTTTGCCCTTTCATACCATTAATGTTTTTATTTTAGCTTAAAATAAAGGAGTGTCTGCTGTCCACATTATAGATGTAGGGCCAAGGTCTTTCTTTGTGTATGGATGTGCTGATTGGCATTTTACCATCATCTTTCTTTCATAAGCTACACCCAACATAGGTTGATTGCCATTTTCAGCTTTGATTTCTTTAACATGGACTGGGAACTGAAAAGTATTTGAGAAACAATCTGAGTGCAAAGCCTGAGATTTTTTTATTATTTTCCCCCTTCTTTTCCGGTTATCTCACCAATACATAATTTGATAAACTTTTTAAGCAATTTGCTGTTATGGAATCTTTCCAAACAGCAACATTAGTTTTGCACTCATATTTTATTGGTTTATGTAATATTTAGTTAAATTATATATGAATAATATGTGCAGCTGGCATAAACAGGCTGAGTTAAGAACTAATGACTCTTAGTAAGCATGCCATCCAACCAAATGATAGAGCACAAGCACATGGAATCCTAGCCGTGAACACTTGCTGAGCTACGAGTGTAAATCAGTGTGTTTTACAAAAGATCAATGGTGTCACTTAAGCCAGTGAGCCAGGTAAGTGCAGGTTGTTTTAAAAGTTCTATTTTAATAATATCAGTAATAATAATGAAAACTTACTCAGTATTTACTCTGTGCCAGGCACTATGTTAAATGCTTCTAAACATATCTCAATTAATCATTACCTGAAGAAAGTATTATCATCCCCATTTTATAGATAAGGAAACTGAAGCTCAATGAAGTTCCATAACTTTAGAGCCAAGTTTCTGTCCTACTCCAAAATCTGTGCTTTTGTGCACTACACTATATTATTTATAATATTTATTGTATCGGTGAATGAATAAATGTAGGCAAGTATGCAGAGGACAGGGAAAGACTTGGAAGCTGGGAAACATTTTCCTATGGTTGGGAAAGTGTCTCTTGAAGACCAGCTGGCTCATTCTTAGCCATTTCCTGTGGTGAGAGGGGTCCCCAGGGAGAAGGTAGATGTTCTTAGAGGGGCTTGGGGGGTGAGGTGAAGCCAACACGTGGGTTGGGACATGTCTGTTTCATTTCCTATATCTACTTCAGACTTCTGATCACAACCACCAGTGGCCCCCCCTTTAGTTCAGTCCTAGCTTCTTTTATTTCAACTGAACCTGATTGGAATTTAAAAATCTTAATTACAAAATAAAGGGAAAACAACAAAGCCACACTTTCAATGCCTGGCCCAACATACTAATAGCTAAACCACAGACCAGCTTGGCTGCCTAACCTAGTCATGACCTAACCTAGTCATGGAAGGCCACCCAGAGGAAATTAATCTGCCACCCACAGGATGAGAAGTTAGTTAGGCAAAGTGGGAGTGGAGAGTGGGGGTTGTGGTAGAGGTGGGAAATGTTGCAAGCAGAGAAAACAGCATATGCAAAGGCCCTGAGGCAGGAACAGAGTGGTCAATAAAGTTGGAACACAATGAGGAAAGGGCAGTGAACAAAAGATTGCATCATGCAGGCCTCACAGATCAAGCTGATATTTTGAGTTTTATCCTGAGAGCCGTAGGAGCCAATGAAGAGGCTCCCAATCTCACAGGGAAGATGCAGATACTTTCAGCTAATTGATTATATGGCTTTTTATAATAAGTTATTTCATTGGCATAAATTTATGCTTTACAAAATATATTCTCATCTTTGTCTTATGTCTTCCTTGCAGCTGCCCTTTGAGGGAGATATTCCAATTATCAGTACAGATGGGGAATCCAAGGTTCCAAGAGGTAAGTGACTTTCCCAAGGACACCAGTGAGCCAGCTAGGGAGCAGGCATCCACATGGTGATCATTGCACTTTTTAAGCCAGCCATGCAGAGAAAGCACTGGCTCTGCATGAGTTGGTCCTGGGGTCTATGTCCTTACCGGCAGGGAGGCCTCTTAACTAAAGGACTGAAGGATTATGTGCTCAGGCCAAGAGTCTGCCAAACTAGAGTTCAAATCCCAGCCTGGCAACCACTTACTAGCTAGGTAACTTCTAGTGAGTTACTTAACCCCTTTGACCCTCTCACTCCTTATTCGTAAAATAACCTGATAGGGTTGCTATTATGATTGAATAAGATAATGTATGTAAAAGTGTGACACATAGTAGCAACTCCATAAATGTCTGTATATTTGATTTTTTTAAAGACAGTAATAGACTTCCCTTTATTTTGGAGCCATAGGATATACTGAATGTGCGAGTTAAATGAGGCTCAAGTCCCTTCATACCAGGGTTCATTGTATATGAGATGGGCTGAATCTCTGTGTGATTTGCATACCTTCAAGATGGTATAGCATGGGAAGGAGTGCTGAGGCCCTTCTTGATAACAACAGCTGATACGTCTACCTTGTAGACTATGTAGGGAAGTTCTGCATATGGTAATATTTTGGGAGCTAAGTGCAAGGGAGTAATTGCCCAAGTGTCCTCCCAGGTGGATGTTATATGTGGCTTAAGAGCTACATTCAAGGAGCTGTCTAGGGGTCAAGACCCTGAGAAAGCAGCATGTAAGGGTCTCAAAGGTGTGCTAAACAACAGCCGAAAGTTCTGTCCAGAGAGCTGAGGAAGGAGGATTAGAGTGACGTATGGGAGCCCAGAGCACAGGGAATATATGTGAATAACAGGACTCACTGAGTATCCTTGACCACTTGTGAGGCTTCTGATCCAGGGCAGCACGGACCATTGTGGGATCCTCCATCTGCCATGGGGCTTGACGGACTCTAAGAATTTTGCATGAAAAAAATAGATGTTTAGTTTTCTTGGCTTTGGAAGTAATTTTTGCTCTTGGAGGTGGGCCTATTAGAAATGGGTGGTAAGTTAAATGGGAGTCTCAGGGAAAAGTGGACTATTGTCTAATTGATGACTGTCAAACATTTTTAACCGAACCTACATCCCGATATCCATTTTGCATATTTGCATACATATTTGCATACATTTTGCATGTATGCTGGTGACCCAGCATACATGTACGTACACACACACACCTGAAACCAAAGTTTTATTAAGCAGTACCTACATTTATGTATGCGATGTACTCTGGTAGTTTGTTTTCTATTTTATTCTACTTCATTAAATTGATTTCATGACGTGCTAATGGATTGCAACATGTACTTTGAGAAACATTGGTCTAATAGATGATGACTTGTCCTTGAAGGTGATTGAAGAAGATGTTGTTCATGAATAATGGAATTCAGATGAACGATGCCAAAGGCTGGCAGTCTGGCTGTATACTTTAAATACAGCAGATACAGAATCTGGTTGTCTGTCGCCCCTGAACATTAAGGTTAGAAATGGCAAAAACAATAACAATATGACGAATAGCAGCAACATCTACTGAGGACCTACTCGGTGCAGAGAACTGGGCTAAGTACTTGAACTGGATAATAATGTGAATGGAAAATGCTCTGTCCTTAAAATAATTATAACCTAGTGGGAAAGAAGGACTGGATCATAAGCACAAAAATATAAGGAGATTTCAGGTAATGTGGCAGACTGAACTGATGTGAGATAACATCCCCCTCTAGAAAAATAAACTTTATAATAATTATACATATGATAAATTTAAAAATATGTAAAATATAACACCTAAAAACTATATAATCACATTTAAAGCAATAAATGGAAGTCCCTAAGTGCCAGGAATGAACAGAAAACTCAAAGCCAAAATGCTCAAGGAGAACTCAGAAAGGCCTTAGAGCAAATTATACGTCATAAGAGCTAGAGTTTAACAGTAATAAAGACAGAAGAACAAGCCCCAGCTCTCTGCATGTTGTACAACTGGAACTAAGCTCCCTTCATAAAGTTAGGATCCATGAATATTCCCCATTCATGTAAAGGGAATCAGAAAACTTCACTCACCAAAGGGGACTTAGTAGAGTAACTTGTCATCTTTCTGGGCCTGAAGGTTAAAAAAGAGTCATCTCTGAGAAATTAAATCCTGAAGCCTTTGCTAAACATGGGTATGGGGTACAAATATACACTACTTACAAGCTGTGGGAACCTCAATTCAAGAAAATAATAAATAAATAAACTGGTCTAGAAATGGTAGAACCCATAAGGTCTTAGGCAAAAGTACTCAACATAATGCCTCCCGTAATGGCTAAGGGAACACAAGTCTCCCAGAGAAATCAAGTCCTGCTGGAGATAAGTTCATAATCAAAAACTATAAACTACAAGAAGAAATGAGCCACTACAAGGAAAAGTCATCAAAAATAATACATCAAATAATTCAAATAACTGTATTGGTTACAAATATGGAAATGACTTTAAAATAAATATATTTCAAATATTCCAAAAGTAAAGAAAAAATAAAATAAAAAAGGCAAGAATAAGACATAATGGGGGGAAGAGTGGAAACAGAGTTGAAAAAGAACCAAATAGAATTTATAGAAATAAAACAATGTTTAAATAATAACAACTCAATGGAAGGATTAAACAGTTGATAACACTGCTAAAGAGAGAATTAGTGAACTGGAATACACATTGTAAAGTACCCAAAATACAATTCACAGAATTAAAGTCATAGAAAATATGAAAGAGAAGTTAAGAGACATGAAGGATAAAATAAGAAGGGCCAGTAGAGAATATTAGAAATTCCAGAAGAATCCACATGTTTGTAATGGTAAAAAAAAAAAGAAAAAAAAGAAGAAATTCCAGAAGAAGAGAACAGAGAGAGAAGAAATAAATGAAGATATATTTTCTAGTATTGAATGCAGAAATGAATTCTCAGTAAGAAGGAACATGACTGGATATCTGAGCCGAATAAATAAAAATAGGTTAAATCTGGCTGGGCGCGGTGGCTCACGCCTGTAATCCTAGCTCTCTGGGAGGCCGAGGCGGGTGGATTGCTCAAGGTCGGGAGTTCGAAACCAGCCTGAGCAAGAGCGAGACCCCATCTCTACTATAAATAGAAAGAAACTAATTGGCCAACTAATATATATAGAAAAAATTAGCCGGGCATGGTGGCTCATGCCTGTAGTCCCAGCTACTTGGGAGGCTGAGACAGAAGGATCGCTTGAGCCCAGGAGTTTGAGGTTGCTGTGAGCTAGGCTGACGCCACGGCACTCACTCTAGCCTGGGCAACAAAGCGAGACTCTGTCTCCAAAAAAAAAAATAAATAAAAAAAAATAAAAATAAAAAATAAGGTGACAGAAGTAAGGCCAGATGCATTAATCACAATAAATGTAGACATATCAAACTTGCCCATTAAAGGAGATTTTCAAAAGGTTTTTTTTAAAAAAATTGAGGTCTAGGCTGTTCAAAAAAGACTTGCATAAAACATAGAGTCACAGATAGGTTGAAAATGAAGATATAGAACAAGATATGCTAGGCAGATATTATCCAAAGGGATAATATCTGGCTAGTAATACTGATATCAAACAAGAATTTAGGAGTGGAAGCATTCATAGGGATAAAGTGGGACATTACTTATTGACGAAAGCAACTCAGCCGAGATTTACTAATCAGCATACTGGGGAGATCTTGCCACAGCAGCTTGAATCCAGCCAGGGCAGGCTCTTCTGCCCTGGTTGGGGAGCTGAGGGACAGTTAGCTTCCTGCTCTGACTGAATTTACATTGGTTTGTACCTGCCTGGGCAGGGTGTGCCCAGCCCCTCTTGTGAACACCAAGACAGGGAATTTCTAGAAATAATTAATAGCATCATGAGGAAAAGGCCAGTAGGCTTTGGCTTCTAAGGACACAGGGTTGCCTTGGCTTCTGTCCTTCCCAAGACCAAATGTGTGAGATATTCCTGATATTCTCAGCAAATATCCCTTTGTGCTTAAGGTAGCTCAGGTTACTTTTTAACATTTGCTGCTTTGTTAACATGGCTTAGTTAAAGAATCTCCTCTTCAGTAGGAAAGATCTTCTCCTGGTCTTCGTACATCTGCCAATTCAGAGGCTCTGGTTCACTGTGGCCTAAGGGATCCAATGATGGTGGGAGGTCAGCCCACCCCAGAGCCGGTAGTGAGCCTGCCTGTCATCCATTGAGTAGGACTGCCTTGTCTCATCCCAGGAGTAGTAGCTGGAAGGCTATTTGGGCCGTCCCTGCCTAGCAAGCAGCTTGGACTTCTACTAGACCAGAGGCAGGAAGTACACCAAAGTATCCCATTGTGTCAGCCCAGGCAACTGGTAAACTATTCCAGAATTAGAACTGTGTTGAAAGAACTAACCAAGGAATCAGGGTAAGAGCTCATAATGAGTTTCTATGTATTTCAGAGCTGCATGCAAAGGGAGGGTCTCTCTGAAGATACTGGTTATACTTGATCCTGTGGAGAGGTGTTCCTTGTGGATTTTCAGTATACCTAATCCTGCATTCGATCTGTATTTTCTATGTACCATGGTGGGTGGTATTTCTCAGAGACCATGGGTACCTGATCCTGCAGATAGTTTTCTAGGAAACCACTGCTGTATCTGGTTATAGGGGGTAGGGTCCCTTATTGATCACAGGGGTACCTGGCCCTGTGGGGAGGTATTCCTGGAGCCACAAGTATACCCAGGCTGCTGATTGGTGGCACTGTTTATGTGAACATGGTATCCCCAGGGACCATAGCCATGCCCAATCCTGACCAGTACAGCTTCCCTATTCTTACCAAGATATCCTATATGGGAAGAGTCTTCCTTATTAAAAATAAACATCACGGGCCGGGCGAGGTGGCTCTCGCCTATAATTCTAGCACTCTGGGAGGCCGAGGTGGGCGGATTGCTCAAGGTCAGGAGTTCGAAACCAGCCTGAGCAAGAGTGAGACCC